CACATCGAGCTCCCTGCTCCACGGGAAGCCTGCTTCTCCCTCTCCCACTCCCCCTGCTTGTGTTTCCTCTCTCGCTGTCTCTCTCTGTCCCTCTACCTCTTGCACATTCTCTCTCTCTCTCTCTCCCTGTCTAAAAGAAAAAAAGAAAAAGAAAAACAAAGGACATGGAAGAAATTCCCTTTGTTAAATATACAGAGCAGATTTTGTCAAAGCAGATATAAAAAGCATCATCATAAAATACATCAAAATAAATTCAATTACATTAAACTGAAGGGCTTCTGTTAATTATAAAATATTATAAAAATTGAAATGAAATGCACAATTCAGGAGATATTTGAATACTCTACAATGATTTATCATGTAGTATTATGGATCGGGGAGCTGGTCAAAACAAGGACAAGTGCTCAGGTGTCCTCCATCAGTCAGTTATACCCTGGAGCCAGGGGTCTCGGTGTCAACGTGTGGAGTCAGTGGTTTTGGAAAACACATGATGACCCCGACCAGTCACTCCTTAGATGTTATCTTTGCGCTGGAAGACTCAAAGGAATCATTAACTTCTTGACCTTTACAAGGAGGACCTACATTATAGGTACTATAAGGCATGTGTAGAGTAGGGGTGCTTGTCCTAGCAAGAATAGAAGCAGGAAAAGGAGCAAAAGCAGTTCTTTATCAGATCCCTTCAGTTTCCTTATCTCATGATCACATTGCTTCCAATTTATGTATAATTAGAATCACAGGCATCAGTCAAATTCAGATTAACCCTGGCCACAGTCTTCCACAGGCGGGGTTGAGACTTTTGATTGTATCACAAAGAAATGCTCTTAAGTCTGAGTGTCTGTTTCCTGATGTTAACTTTGCACAGTGGGTCAACTGTTATTAGGTTTCTTTATCCACTATAAGGTTTGCCAACTGTGATGAGGGAACAGAAGGCAAGCTGAGGACGAAACGGAAGCTGACACCCCACAATCCCCCGCCCCCCATGGGATTTATGTGACTTTCCTCAGGCACTCCTGGCTGCCCTAAAAGAAAAACAAATGGTTAACTTATAGAGATCACAATCCTACAAGACAGGAATCTCCCTCAGTTTTACAAATGTCTTTGCAATCTACAAGAACAAAGCATTTCTATCAATGGCCTAGCTTCCAGAAGGGAATGTAGATACAATTAAATGTCCTTATCTGCAGCCCATTGACAGATACTTGAAGCAGGGAGAGTGTAATGTCTCTCCAGAAAGTTCCCAACTATCTTAATGTTAATACCCTACTAGAAGGAAAAACAACCTTAACTTGACAATGGCAAGGCCTCTGGTATCCTGTGAGTCTTAAGGTACAAAAATCAAAACCTCCCTTTTCCTCACCTTCCCCAACCCCATAGTATATAATTAGCCAGCCCTCACAGCCCAGTGCTTTAATGAATCACCATTTTGCACCAGAATTCTTTCTTGGTCCTTGGCTCTGAACCTCACCTATACTTTATTTTTTTTTAAGATTTTATTTATTTATTTGACAGAGGGAGACACAGCGAAAGAGGGAACACAAGCAGGGGGAGTGGGAGAGGGAGAAGCAGGATTCCCGGGGAGCAGGGAGCCCGATGC